CAGAAGAGGGCGAGGGGGGGAAAAGGGGGGGGGGGGGGGGGGGGGGGTGCCCAAGACCCAGAGGAGGGGGCATCTGCTGGAGAGGCATGATTCAGAGGGAGAAAACATGTACTTAAATATGGACAAATTGTAAAATGAAATTCATGCAGCAGTGAACAGAATTACAATGCTGCGCAACTCAGAGAAGAAGAACACTGAATATCTGACAGAGACAGTGCAATAAGTGGAAAGGTTTCAGGCACAGTAAGAAATGTACTTTGGCCTGACACAGGAATGCACTCTCAGCACTGCTCAGGCTGTTCAAACCAGAGAATTTGTACATTAGTTTGAGATGCGTGTGAAGAAGATACATAGAAAGTTAATGAAGGATCTCATTCGTTTGAGATATGTGTGAAGATACACAGAACGTTATGAAGGATCTAAGTGTATTATACTGTTAATTCCATTGCCAACACAGATACTTCCATTAAAAATGCAAATACATCTATATAAAAAAAGTATTTGGAAAAAATTCCAATTTAATCCCAGGAGAGTCCTGTTAGAGATTATTATGATGACGACAAGGTAAATAAACTTCCCTATCACAAGCAGGAATGTATCTTCAGCGGGAACATTTTGGGTTCTCTGTTAAATATGATAAAATTATTTCCTTGATCCCTCACTTGTTTGCAAAGGTGTTCTATAATGTCATAGTTTTCTGCATTTTTCTCAGTCTGTCATAATGTTCCTTAATACAATTAGGGCAATATTTGACAAGTTGTTTGCACCACATAGAGTTGTCCTTGTATGTTGATCACATAAAAAAACAGTTTTTATAACCACATTCTACAATTGCCATTACCACTCTCAGTTTCATGCATTCCTTATATTTTCTTTGTAGCAGTGTATTCTAGACCTGCCCTGTTTAAATGGCTTTAGACTGCATAGAGAGATTTAGGAATCTGCAATCAATACATTTTTAAATATTCACTTCAATTATCCAATCATGTGTAGATGAAATAAGGTAACAGGAACTTGCTGTTGAATAAGGATGGGCTGCCTGTTCGAGTCGACCATAGGTTCGACTCGAACATTGCATGTTCTAGCGTTCGCCGAAATTGAAGTGACTGGATAATGGAAGAGAATATAGACACAAATTAATGTGTGAAGATTCTCAACTCCTTAATTAAGTCAGCCTAATTTTGTTCCCGGTCCCTCTTGCTACGACCCAAGAAATCACTACAATGAGGGCTGAGAATGGTCAGATTGCAGATACCACATGACTAACAGAAACTGTTGGCTGTCATAGGGGATCAGCATAGACATTTGCCATGCTACTATTAGAAATTATGAGGTGGGTAGGGGCGGGCTCTGCAAATCAGAATATTTTCCACTGACTGCAATGACTCCACAGTCAAAACTCATAATCTGCATACTTGTTCCTAGTCAGTGACTTACTCATTGAAATGACTGAAGCTATGTCAACCTGGTAACCGGTATTTTTAAAAGGAGAAGTAAGCATTGGCAGCCTCCATACTTCTTAAGTGCAGGCCTTTTACTGTTCAGAACATCCTGTGATTCACCAGTCCACTTTCAGATGGGTGGTAGAATGGTGGGTGTTAAAGGAAAAGAAAATGTAGTATTTTAGCATAGTGACCCTCACCTGTTTGAGGAACGCTGTCTGGCAGCAATGGATGAGAGGTTCTGTGGTCCTCTAACAAAAAGCAGGAAATTATATATATCTATATATATCTATATAGATATATATAGATATAGCCATGTGACAGAACAGCAGGGATAAGCTAGTCAAGTGCAATAAACATTTAACACTGTTGTACTTGCAAATCTAATGAAGCCCTTAGAGACCACCAGCTTACTTATACTTCCCTTTATACGAACACATAGACTTTAGCTGTGCTCATTTCATTTAGGGTGTATAATAAAAGAAACCTCCAGTTGGATTACTGCAATAAGGTATCCATGCCAGTAAAACGGTTTTTACTTAAATCTATGCTCGTTTCGAGATACTCTGTTTCCTATGCATTAAAAAAATGTAAGCTCAGATGGGCAGAACATGTGTTTATAAATCCAGTGTACAGCACTATATATATAAATAATGGTGTTATTGTTTTGTATGGATATTTGTTACAATGCTTTCTCTTCTCTTTGTATGGGCCCTAGCTACTACATTAAAAAGGACCCTGTAGCCAGACCATTCATTTCAACAACTACAGTATTTTCCCATAAGGTATGTGCATTTAATACCTCCCTTGAGACTGCTGTGCCATCTTGGATGTGTTTGTCAGCAGCCCCAACAGACTCACAGCTGTCACTAAAGTGATACTGCAAAGTATTCCCCCTCACTCCTTTCCCAGATGCTATATAAAATGTTATGGAGAGAGATGAAGGGAGAACAGACAGCAATCAGACCCAGAAGAAACCCAGAAGAGGAAAGTACTATAATGTGCAAGGAGGAAGGGGGACTGTGCTAGGGAACTATAAATACTATCCTTGTTGCACTCCTTACCGAAATGTCCCTTGTAGTGGGGGGTGCTCACAGTGACTGCGGATGGCGCTGCAAATATCAGCAGAATTGTAAAAATGTCACCAGCACACCAGTCCTTTTAGGATAGCAAAAGCTTCAATTATTGAAGTTCTTTGTCATATGAACAAGCGCTTTCGGGATCACACAGGGTCTTCCCAAGACCTCCTGCTTTCCAGCTCTCTCGTCAACTCCTCCCATACTCGCCTCCAGTACTTCTCTAGAGTCTCTCCCATCCTCTGGAACTCTTTACCCCAACCTGTCCGTCTGTCTCCCACCTTGACTGCCTTTAGGCGTTCCCTAAAGACTCTTCTCTTCAGGGAAGCCTATCCCACCTCAACCTAATCACTGAACCATCATGCTCTCAAACAATTCATCCCCACACAGCTACCTCCTTATGTATCACTTCCCCCTCCCCTTTTAGATTGTAAGCCCCCAGGGGCAGGGCCCTCCTTACCATCCTGTCTTGAATTGTATTGTGATTATAATGTCTTCCTTATATTGTAAAGCGCTGCGCAAACTGTTGGCGCTGTATAAATACTATGTAATAATAATAATTAAAAAAATGTTCATGGAAAGCAAAAATCTGCAAGTAAGAATTTAAAGGTATTGCAAAAATATTATTTTTCTGTGCAATTTGTTTACCTGCAATTGTAAAGCTGATTGCTGGGTCTCTTTAACCACTTGCCGTCCGCCAATTGTGAAAACACCGGCGGACGACAGACTCTTTCCCAGCGGGTGGATGGACTGCACGTAATTTTTTTCTGTTCGCGCAGCCCAGCACAAGTAGAATCCCGCTGGGAATGTAAACAGCCGGTATCGGCTGTAACATACAAGCTTTCAGCCGACTCTACGGCCGATCGCTTGTATGAAAGTAAAACGTGTGTGCCCCCTTCGCTGCCGTGCTTCCCCCCTCTAACACCGATGCCGGTTATCCTGGGCTCAGGATAACCGGCTCTATAATGCTCTATAATGTATTGCTGGGATAGTGGGATTTGTAGTCCTCTATAGCTGGTGGTATTCTGCATTGCGCTGTATAATGTATTATTGCTGGGATTTGTAGTCGTCTATAGCTGATGGTATAATATACAGTACAGCGCAATATACCGTCAGCTACAGAGGACTCCAAATCCCACTATCCCAGCAATACATTATACAGCGCAATGCAGAATACCACCAGCTATAGAGGACTACAAATCCCACTATCCCAGCAATACATTATACAGCGCAATGTGGAATTCCACCAGCTATAATGTACTATTGCTGGGACTTGTAGTCCTCTATAAAGTGGTATTCTGCATTGTGCTGTATAATGTATTGCTGGGATTTGTAGTCCCCAATACAGCAAAATGCAGAATACCACCAGCTATAGAGGACTACAAGTCCCAGCAATAGTACATTATAGCTGGTGGAATTCCACATTGCGCTGTATAATGTATTGCTGGGATTTGTAGTCCTCTATAGCCGGTGCCATTCTGCATTGATTGCTGTATAATTTTACACTTTCCATTTCACTATATTGCACACCACACTTTTTTTTTCTTATCTCCACCGCTCCGAGCTTGCTCCTGTGATGGACTACAATCTCAATACAAACTAGTAGTCCATCACTGGAGCCATTTGTTTTGGAGTAGAGAGCCCGCACTGACCAGCTGGCGGTCCGCATTGGCCACCTGAGAGC